TATATATATATATATATATATATTATATCATACCTTAATCAGGAAATCAAGTCATCTTAATGACATAATAAGCTAAATATGTAACACAGATCACTCAAAATCAAGATCTTATTTCCATTCTTACGTGTCTAGAAAAAAGATATAGTTGGACTCATTTTTGATGGTTTCAGAATTTCTAATACCAATGTTCTTTAAAGGTTGTTCCAATCAGTAAATCAAAACACCGATGACGCTGTATTTGTTTGGGTCTTAGAATGTCAGAAAGGTGAAGGTTGTGAGATTATCAACCAATTTGTTTTTTAATAGTGCCACTAATGCTGTTTCCATTGTTATAACTGTAGTATATCGGCTATAAGTGTAATTGCAATGTTTATTTGGCTTAAACAATTTGGCTTAACAAAAATTAGAATAAAAAAAACAAAACAAAAACAACGTGAGTTGCTTTAACTGGGATTTGAACTCCAGACCTCTCGCTTCCTAAGCGGGCGTTTAAACCCCAGCACCACGGTGAAGTTAACAGATAACATTATGAAGGAAACCAAATTATTCTAAATTAGGGTTTGTAACCCTTATTAATTTCGAGATATTTTGTTCACGGTAAACCTTTTGTTAAACACTGATGTAAATAATCATGAAGCTTAAGATAAGCATGTCTATCTGTCAAGAATTACATAATATTAGAAATCTTGACCAATCTGGAACCATTTTTTCTTTCCCCTGAAGGCTTGAATATAAATGCGCCTGTCATTTGACAATCTTTATGCATTGATCTCCCCTTAATATTCGGCATAAGTGTACATAAAAAGGGAAGTAACCCCTTTGAGGAGTTTGGACTACTTTTGGTTTTTGCCAATAAGCGTATCAGGGTCTGAAATTTTTCTACCATTATTTGTTTGGTCTGACGACCCAAACAAATAAAGAAACTGTTGTAAAATCTACCCTTTGCATAAACATTTTGAAGTTAACAAATTTTGAAAAGGTTTTATTATTATGCCCCTGCCATGAAATAACTGGGGTATATAGTGTTACCCTGTTCCGTCCTTTCGTCCTTCCATCATTCCGTCATTTCGTCATCATCAGTTTCCGTTCGTTATCTCCCCAACAGTTGTACACATTCAACTCAAATTTGACATATGGATAAGTCAAAGGAATGTGCAGGTCAAGTTCAAATTTAATCATGGTTCAATGATTTTTAGCAGAGTTCTGCCCCTTTCACTTTGAAAATACTATGAAATTTTCCGTTTCCGTTCATTATCTCCCATTCAACTCAAATACATTTTAGGAATAAGCAGTTCAAGTTTGAATTTGGTCATGGTTTAATTATTTTGGACAAAGTTATCTATTTTGAATGTTGGAAAAATTTTGAATTTTCAGTTTCAGCACTCATACTTTTGTGAAAGTGTATGTAGTCATTATTTTGGCTACAAATATGCAATATGCAAATTACAAAAGGTTAACACTGAATAGTTTCAGTGCCTTGAACTTGGTATAAAAATGGTTTGTGTTAACATTGAATAGTTTTAAGGGCTTTGAACTTAAAATGAAAAAAATAGTTTGTGCAAACAAATTTGGAACTTAATACTATAACATCTGAAATTTGGCTGCATGTGGGGGCATCCATGGCATGACGACACATTTCTAGTTTTATTTCATATTATGTTTTTCAAGCAAAAAAACCCAGAGTATTTATAGTGAAATAAAAGTAATATTTAACTGTTAAACATTTACTTAATAGCTTTTTTTGTTTGACGTTTTTTTTCACTCGCTGTTTGGCACTGCATATTGTGACATTGCATTATCAAAACATCAGACGTCTGTACTATGTTAATGACTGAATTAAAAATGTTGTCTTTGAATTTATTTTCTTAGTTAGACCATTTTTGTCCAGCCCACCTGTGGTGAGCTAGACTTAGCCATTACATTTGATGTATAGTTTGGTGTATGTGCTTCTGTTCATCCTTTGGGATTTGTCTTGCCTACATCTTGCTCATTCTGTGAAGGATTTCAAAATAATTTGGTAAAAATGTTCACCATGATGGGGTGGTGTGAGGCACACAAAGCCTAGGTCAGCCACTCAAAGGCCAAGTTCACAGTTTGGGGTTAGCGCAAAACCCGTGTCCGGAGCATAACTTCTACATGCATGGAGGGATTTTAATATAACTTGGGAAAAATATTCTCCATAATGACGCGGAGTATAGCGTGAAAAATCCAGGTGTCTGTGGCAAAGATCAAGGTCACATTTAGGGGTCAGTCATGCATGGAGGGATTTTAATATAACTTGGGAAAAATATTCTCTATAGTGAATTGGAGTGTCACAGGGAAAATTCAGGTGTCTGTGGCAATTTAGGTCAAGGTCTTACTTCTTGGTCAACTTGGTCAAAGGTTAAATTACAAATTAAAACATTCACTTTTGAGTATAACTTCTATATAAATGGATTTTAATATAACTTAGAACAAATGTTTTATATTATGAGTCGAGTTGTCTTTCACAAAATGAAGGTCAATGTGACTAGAGGTCAAATAAAAATATTAAAATTTGTTTCTCCGCACTGTTTCTTGTTCTTTTTTTTTGCTTTGAAGCATTATACTTAGTCAGAGGACTTTTGTTGAGCCTGCTCGGTTGTCAAAATGGCTGTTCAGTGTTGGTGTGTGCAGTCAAAAAAAAACATTGTCGAACCGTCAGTCATGTCCGGTAATTTTTTTAAAGGTCCGACAAATTTAGAAAGTCTCTGGACCAACTGTCCTGTAATTTTTTTAGTAGAAGAACTATTACAAATAAACTTGTTTCACGTTTATAGGCGACTTGGGTGAAAAAGTAAAAAAGTCGCTCTGTCTCTCTCCATTTTCACAAAAGCAAAAACAATGTCACCCTATTAAAATAATTTCCCAAATGTCAAAGTTTAATCTCCACGCTCAGCCTCTATCAAAACATTCAACCTATTTTCATTGATCAGTAAAATTGGAAAACCAATGAAACGTGGTGATACAATTTAGCGGATGTTGGAAGTCAACGGGTGATATCTCCAGACTGTTGATAATTGCAGATTAAATATCAATAAACAACAATTAGCAGATTAGCGGCATTTCATTTCAATTAAGACCAATAAGGGACAAACTTAGCGCATAAATTTGCCGGTAAGTCTAGTGATCATGTTGATATATGTTAGCTTTACAAAAATGTGTCGCCAAAAATTTAATCAAATTTCACTCAAACGTTTTGATTTTTACAATTTTCTTGTCAAATGCCTCAATGGTGTATGAAAATGAAAAGCCTCCTTCAAAACAGCATCCCGAAAGCTATTAATAACCTCCAGTGATGTTCGTTTCTAAAAATAGAAGAACAGAAAACAAATTGTCCACTTTACTAATTTACATATAGAGAGTGCACCAGTAGATTACAGGTATCGATGAGTGTCTTTATTGTTTATATGTTTTTGAATGACAGCAAATTTCATAATCCACCAGTATTCTTTTGATTTAACAATTATATGAACCAATTTATCTAAAAATAACATGTTTAAACTGCTGAAGGCCACTAAGAAAAGTTTAGGAAATTGAACTTCTTGCATAGCAGACGTGAGTTTCTGTGAGATTTACCCATGCCGGAAATTTGATCTGGCATAGGGGGTGCCAGATGAGTCGTGTGCCATACAACAATGTCATTTTGGCGCATTTTATGAATAAAACTGGAAATTCACCTATATGACCTTTACTGTGTTGGTTTGAATTATAAGTCAATCAGAAAAAAATTGCATAATATGATTTATTTAGCAACAAAGTCAATAAAATGTAACAACAAAATAGGATTTAAAAAACAAAGAACAAAAACAATGCAATATGAGAAAATATCAGAAAGGCATTAATAAATCTTTCAAGAATGGAACACAATGTTTTAACAAGCAATTTTATCATGCAACAGCCATGGCAACTGCCCCCTAACACTTGCCTGATAATTATTTTTTTAATTGTGTTAGTAATTGAAGGTTAAAAAAAATCAAACCAACTTTGATTAGCATGCTTTATTAGAAATTGCAATTCTGATATGTGGCATTGGTATTTTTGAAAATCTAATCTGAGCCCAACAGTCTTCAGCTTCCACCATTTACATTATTCCATAGTCCATACTAAATCCTATACATGTATTATGCTACTAGTATTTATTCTATCTATATTTGCAAAGTTTAAGGTATTAAAAATATATATTTATTTCAAATCTTTAAATAGCAAACTATTTTCTGAATAATTGGTATACTATAAATAATTTTAATGATTATGATTTAATGTTTTGTTGTATATCAGCAATAGTGTCATCCACTTACCACCAAAATTTCACCTTATCTATAGCATAATGTTAAATTGAGTGTATTAGGGCAAAGTTATCATGGATTTCATTGCAAAATGTAAAATTTTAATGTTCCCAACTGTTAAGGGATAAAAATACAGATCTTTTATTATTTATTGCTCATAAATTCACTTGGGCAAATCTACTTGTCCACTGGCAAAAAGTTGGGAGTCAGGCATAGAATTTCCACATCATGGGAGGGATATCACCATTTCATTTATGAATACTTATTTCCTAGCAGTCTAACCTTTTAAAGAACATCTATGAATATTTCTATGTATTCTACTTCTTTAAAATTATCCCTTGTACTAGTTGAATGTTTAAACATGGTAGAATTTTAAACTCTTTCTGCTGAACTCAAGTACTCAAGATGCAACTTCTGCACGTCAAAACGATGTAACTTCTGCACCTCAACTGAGTTTGATGCCAAATTTATCTTCTGTACTTAAACACTATAAAATGGCATCTAAATTTCACTGCTATTATGAAAAACTATCTCCTATTATTAGGTGCTCTTCTCATTGCAGCAGACACATTTCTTGGTGTTTGGGAACTGTTACCATAGCCACTCTGCATGAGAGAAATTCTTGGCTCTCCAAGGTTATTGGGCTGTGCTCTTCTTGGAGACTGCCCCTGTGCATTGGATGTCCTCCTCTGTGTGGTTGTCACTCGCCTCTGCATGCCAGGCCTCCTGTGCTGATCCCCTTGCAGTTCTCTAAGTCTGACTTCCAATGTTTCAATCTTAAGATCTTTTTCTGATATTTGCCTAAGTTTTATTTCAGCATCTTTTTCTAAGTTCTCTAATGATGTTTTATAGTTTTTCAGCTCTATGTCCTGTTCACTAAGCCTCTTCTGTAGCTTCTTCAGGTTACTCATATCTTGTTGATGCTTCCATAAATCAAAAACCATCTGATCAATCTCCTTTTGTTTATCTTTGAGCTTGCTCTCGAGTTCTTTTTTGTCTGCTTGTAAATTCTCAATACATGTGTTAAGTGGTTGTCTTCTTTCCTTCTCCTGAAAAAGGCTGTGACATTTTCTGATCATTTTCATGTCATCAGAATTTTCCAACCTATCAATTAGCCTGTCAGTTTCACATTCAAGCATATCCCAAGTAATGTCATTATCATCATCAGTGTCTTCATCGTCCTCATTTCCAAAATTTACTTCAACAATCTTCTTATACATTTTCCGCATTGCATCCATTTGTATTTGAAAAGCCTCACTTTGTTCATAAGATATGTCATTTTCATCATCTTTGATATCTAACTCCGCATGAAAAGCATCTCCAAAGTGTGAGAATCTAGAGCTGCCCCTACGAATACAGTCATAATAAGCCTCGCTAGATGGAAAATCTTCATCAATATCATCAACAGCAACATTCACATCCTCTGGGCCATCTACATTGTCACTTACTCCAACACTATTCACCGCTGTTGTTCTTGTGACTGTACTTTCTACATCATCATTATTTGATGTGGACAGAGTGGCTGTTTGACTTTGGATTTCATCAAAACCTTGATCGCATGATTCAGTTACACTTTGTGCTTCATCCTCATCACATTTTAGTGCCTTTGATTCACAATCATTCGTTATACTTCTTTGAGATTCTATTATCCCTATGGGGCTCATACAAGCATCTTTATACTGCTTCTTCTGTGGTCTTGAATCAGTTTCATCACATAGTTGCATTGTAACACCTACAGCACCAGTATCTGTATCATCCAAACCCATATCTGGATAAGATTCATTACGTTTAATTGGATACTGTTGTGGCATAGTTTCTACAGTATAGCCTGGCTTAGGAAAGAATTGTTGGCAATCCTTTGTATTATACCCAGCAGACATTGAATCCTGCATTGGTATTACTTGCCTTGCCTTTCTTCTATGTGGAGGTGTTGATACAGCTCTATTTTCTTGATTGTAGAACCTTTCTTCATCTTGATCAAAGTATTTTGGATTGGTTTCATATCTAGCATGTCTTTGCTCTTGCAATTCTCTTTCTAGGTGAAACAAGAGAGGAAAAACATAATGAATATATTTTACCAAATATGATAATTTTAAAGCAGTTGGCACATAAGTACTTAAGCTGAATTTTAATCTTTTTATGTATCATTATTGTCAATTGCAGTTTTAATTTCAAAGCAAGAAGGGGCCTGTGTCAGTGCAAATAGGGTTCCATTTTCTTACCATACAGTCAATTGCTTTTGAAATTAACCCATTTTCCATCAAGTCATTGTTGAGGAAAAGTAAAAATAAAACAAGTAGTATTATCTTAATTGAATCATATGGTTCTTTAATTGTTTATTCAATCATTTCTAAAAAATATATACTTAAATGATTCTACCTTGCTGATAAGACTGAAGCCGTCTAGCATACTGGTCTTCGAGTTCTTTAGCCAGCCATTCGTAATTTTCTTTCAGAATCCACACAAAGTTTTCAAAAGCTTTTGGTCCCCTTTTTTCCAGCAGTTCAAGCATTTTATACACTCGGTCCCTAGGCTTTACCTCAGCCTGAAATTGTTTGGGTAAAAGCATGAACAATGTGTTTATTAAAAAAGCAACACAAGAGCAAAACAACAAAAACCTTTAATTATAAACATGGCCGTCTTATTGTTTCATTAAATGACTGAAATTTCCAGGAATTTTTTAACCAAGGAAAATTTAAGATAGTGCAGTTAATATTCTGAAACTTTACGTGGTTAAAGAGAAGCATATTTGAAACAAATGGCTGTAAAAATAATTGAGAGTCGCCATCCTGCGGCTTGAGTTATTAGCCCCTGAAAGTGAGTTTTTGGCACTTTTCGGTTTACCTTGATTAAATCTAGCATGCCATTGGTGAATATTTTATCTCTGCGGAGGGCAGCGTAGAAGTCTTCGTCTAGGATAAGTTCATCAGCTATTTTGATATGCTGACTACGAAGTGTTGACTTCTGTCTCTTATCCATGATTGGTTACTGTAAACAAAAGATAATTATTGTATATTTATGATTGTAGAATTGTTACTGTAAACAAAAGATAATTATTGTATATTTATGATTGTTTACAATTGGTAGATATATGCTCTAGAGAAAATAATGACAAATTTACAATAAACTGTAATGATGATAAATTCATGATTTAACAATAAGACATAATGATGGTAAATACATGAACTTTACTATAAAGCCAGGGCTCTCGTTAGCTTTTTGAGACTGGGGCCAGGGTCCATGTGGGGGGGGGGGGGGAATTTTTGGGTGATATTTAAATATTTTTCATTCAAGGAGGAATTTGAACAGAAAAAATTAATTAATTGAAAACAAATAAAACATGATTCAGTTAACAAATTGACCAACAATAAGTTGCTGTCTTGAAATATTTTGGTTATTAGTCCCCTACCGGTTTAACCGGAGGGGTCTTTAGGTTTACCCTCCATCCGTCTGTCTGTCCGTCTGTCTGTCAGTCCGTCAGTCCGTCCACAAAACTGCATCCCGCGATAACGTAAAAAGTACTGAAAATATTTTTATGAAACTTTATATATGGATAGATGGCAGTATGGAGATTATGCACGTTCTTTTTTTTTTCTTCCTATGTTGAAAATTCTGGTTGCTATGGCAACAAATTATCTGAAAAATATGGCAAATTTAACACATAAAACTGGATCCCAGTGATAACTTCAAAAAGTACTGAAAATTTTTTTATGAAACTTGTAATATGGGTAGATGGCAGTCTGGAGATTATGCACATCTTTTTCTTTTCTTCCTATGTTGAAAATTCTGGTTGCTATGGCAACAAATAGCCTGAATTTCAAGATTTCTGATTGAAATTTTTCAGCTTTTTCACTATATGTTCTTTATTTCTTAAGGTGTTTACTTTCAAACTTTAAATTTAAGTTTCTGGTCATTTCAACCACATCATATGTGACAAGGTTTATAACTCTAGCACAAAAATTATCAGTATTACCTCCCTTGAACTTAGATTTTTTAGAGGAAAAAAATGTTGTCTTTTTTAAATAACTTCTTTATTTTCCTAATGTATCTACTTCAAACTTCATATATATGTTTCTTATTATCAATCGAAGGTTAAATACTCTAGCAAGACTATTTTCCAGAATTAAATGTCCCCCTTGAACTTAGATTTTTTCGAGAAACTGGTATTTTTCACTCCAACTTCTTCATTCCTTATAGGATTTTAACTTTTAAAATCCCGCATCGTAATAATATGACAAGGTTGTATAAACATAATTTCCTTACTAGGAATGGAAACTTAACCCACATTACTGTGATATAGACAAACTTAGAACTCAAAAGATTTAAGTTCATTTCATGTCCATTCATTCACTGTAAAATTTAATGGCAAATGGCCCATCAGAAATGTTGGCGGGTTCTAACGGTAGGGGACTGACTTATGGATTGCTTGCAATACTATGATAATTGCTTGTTTTCAATGAAATTGAATACATCTTTGATACTTTGTATAAAATTTCAACTTATAAAGGTGATCCCTTATCTATGGCCGTTAAATATCATTTTTAAGGGGGAATTTTTTTTGGGTTATAGGAGGTAGAAAAACACTATGTTAATTATGGGGGAATGGGGCCCATATTCTGCCCCAAATTTTACCAAATGAGAGCCCTGAAAGCAAACAAATCTATGATTGTTTAAAATAAATATAATAAATTTGTGATTTTTACTGTAAATTTAAATTAGAGAAATCTGTGATTGTTTACAATAAATATTAATGAATGTAAATTTATTATTTTTACTCTAAACCAGACAAATCTATGATAGTTTAAAATAGAATATGATGATAAATTTGTTTCACTCTGAGACTGAAACTGATATACATCTATAAATCTCTGATACTTTAAATTTAAGCTAGAACATAAATGTTTCAAACTTCATTTTCCTTTGCTTTCTCAATGAAAATATTAAAATATCTCAGTAAAATCCAAATGATTGATTTTACTGTTTTTGTAATATTTGAACTTTTTGTTTCAATCTTATTGATAAGAAACAGAAAATTAAGAAGAATTTGAATTTCAGTACATTGTCTTTAACTTAATTTTCAGTAATACTTTTGTCTTTTCTCTTAATTTTCACTTTGTCTTTACTTAATTTTCAGTTATTGTCTTTATATAATTTTTAGTAATACTTTGTCTAAAAAAAGTTACTGAATTTTCAGTTATACTTTGTCTTTACTTTATTGTCAGTAATCCTTTGTATTTACTTAATTTTCAGTAATCCTTTGTCTTTACTTAATTTTCAGTAATTGTCTTTACATAATTTTTAGTAATACTTTGCCTAAAAAAAGTTAATGAATTCATAATTTTCAGTAATACATTGTCTAAAAAAAGTTAATGAATTGTCAGTAATCCTTTGTCTTCACTTTATTTTCAGTAATCCTTTGTCTTTACTTTATTTTCAGTAATCCTTTGCCTTTACTTAATTTTCAGCAATTTTCAGAAGTTTTTTTTTCTTCCACCAATTTGACAGTTTCACAATCTTACTTGGTATTTTTTTTTTATTATCCACTTTTATACTCTAAATCCCTCTATTCTGATATCATGCTTAAAATACGATTTCTGAATCACAGTGTAACTTTCGAAAGTTTCCCCTTAAAAAAGAAAGATTTTCAGGACCTGTCACATTTGGTATCTTCTTACGTTTTCATGTTCATTAAAGAAGATTAAACGCTTTGTATGATATATTCTTCGTCATTAAACAATTCACATTTATTTGATAATCCTTTACAGTAGCTAGGTTAGGAAGAAAGATTTTCTTATTTCATCTGATTGTGGTTTTTTATGATTTTAAAATCATTGTTTCATGTTTAGACATACATCCTCTTTTTTTATCTGTGCAGTGTTTGTTTTTATCTTAAACTTCTATTTGCACAATGTCTTAAAATACTTTCTAAAAAAAGCAATCAAGAAAGTTATTTAAGAAATAGATGCTTTGTGCAGTGCACTGAGATTATTTTTTGATATCATTTCACAATATGTCCTAAATCATTTAATGGTACACAATGTATTGTAAAACAAGTAAACCTTTTCAATCTGTCATGATACAAAATGAATTTGGAATTCCCAGTTTTGTTCTTTCATCCCAAGACACTCAATTTTCATTGTTTCATCTAAATAACTGTTTAGTTTTGGTTGGTTTAAGGAATGAATTCAAGAGTGTTTCAATAAACTTTTAGCTGCCAATATAATCTAACTAAAATAAAGAAGTATAAACTAAATAACTGTTTGAAATATGTTGAAAGAAAAATAAAACGTGTTCAATTTTCTGTAGTGTTCTATTAAAATAGTAAGGTGAGTGGTTTGAACCCAAGTTCTTGAGTTATGACCCTAATTCTCATAACACAAGTACAGGTTAGATTTAAGAATTGGGCTTGAGAGTAATTAAGCCCTCATTAACATACTGCAACCCCGTTATAACACTCATGTTGGTGTCAAAGGTCTCAACACTGCGTTATAATGAAGTTCTGATATAAAACGTTCATTGAGAAATTGCCACTTGACCCCAGCCCACCTCCGATAGATATAACACTAATGATTTTTATGCTCCCCGAAAAATTTCGGGGAAGCATATAGTCGTGAGGTTGTCAGTCCGTACGAATGTACGTACGTACGAACGTCCCGAATTTGTGTCCGGCCTATTACTTTGTTATTTGAAGTCGGATTTTACAACTATTTCACAGAAATAATCACCATATTGAGACGATGTGTCGCGCAACATTTGGGTCACTACCTTGAAGTTCAAGGTCACAGCATGACCTTGAAGCAAAATCGTGTCCGGCCTATAACTTCGTTATTTGAAGTTGGATTTTACAACTATTTCACAGAAATGATCCCCATATTGAGACAATGTGTCACACGCCACGCAACATTAATTTTGGGTCGCTACCTTGAAGGTCAAGGTCACGGCATGACCTTGAAGGTCAAGGTCACAGCATGACCTTGAAGCAAAATCGTGTCCAGCCCATAACTTTGTTATTTGAAGTCGATTTTTTACAACTTTTTTCACAGAAATGATCACCACATTGAGACAACTTGTCCCGCTCAACATTTGGGTCACTACCTTGAAGGTCAAGGTCACAGCATGACCTTGCAGCAAAATCATGTCCAGCCCATAACTTCATAATTGAAGTTGGATTTTACAACTATTTCACAGAAATGATCAACATATTGAGACGATGTGTCGCGCGCAAGTCAGTAGATATATCTAATTGAGTAGAAGTGCAGTGCAAAGGACAGAAACTTTGCATTGCCTTAGTTTTGAATTATCACACTTTGAACTCTGAAACTACAAAAGATATACTTTTCTGTGTCCAAATCCTAGTCGGGGAGCATCACCCAGTTCAACCGGCTCTTGTTACTTTTTGCCGGTTTTGGGCTTGTGTGGTTGACTAAATTCATCGATGTTTGCGTGTCACAGAACTTTATGTATGAATTTTGAGATTTTTATAACATTTCGTTACCTTACTGTTCAACAAGTAAAAGAAACAAAGGAGAGAATACACACCTTCTGTGCTCACAAGTGTCCTAAGTACCATTGTTAATTATACTTAAGACTGTCACATTGAACAAATGTTATAGCGAATGCTGTGCTAAATGTAAATGTAAATGAAAAAAAAATATAATCAGCTAAAAATTACGATTTTTGTTTTGGAGCCAAGGCCTTATAATGAACTTTATACTGAGGTTATCATTATAACATTATAACGGGACATGTTATAATGAGGTTGCAGTGTATCTTAAATGGGCTTGTCCAGCTTTCAGTCTGGTTAAAAACATTTCATCATTATCATAATTAAGAAAAATTTCAAAATATAAACTGAATGAACAGTGTAGACCATTATCAGACAGCACAGATTTGCCAGTTGATTTTATTCGGCACTGGTCACATTGGTAGATTCAATCGCCGCCATCAGGCTATATTCGTTAAGAGATAAATAAACAACAGACTTTCTGTACAATCAAGTTTTTCATTAAAATGTATAGTAACTATTTTAAGCTGTATAATTTCAAACCATTCTGTTCTGGTCCTCATTAATTAATAAATATTTCTTTTTTAAAAAATTGTCATAGCCCCACCACTTCACTGCATGACACACCTTGAGAGAAAAAAAAAGAAAAAAACTTACTTGTATTTATACTCTAATCCTCATATCACAGTTTCAAATGAATTTTGATTTGTTTAAGATAATTATATGTATAATGTTATTTTAAATAAGAACTACTTTTTTGATGTGATAGATTTATTTATTATTGTCAATAATTATTGCTCATCTAGCATTATTATAATGCTTCATCAATTCTACATTTTATGTCATAAGACGGATCATTCTGAAGTCATCACTTTGTTTAATTGCTCAATCTATTGTCTTTATAAAATATAGGTAACATGTTTGTGCCAAGTCTTATTCAGGTAATGATAAGGGAAAACAAAGAATAAATAAATGAAGAATAAAGGAATAGAGATATAACATTACAGATTGTGGGTTAAGTGTTTAGTCTCTTGTCATCAGAAACTGACCTAGATTAGTGTATAGATTGAAATCTTATTGTTCAAACATTTGAATAGATATCTTTTTCTTCAATGATTAATTTGTTAATCATACACAGATCTGTGACAGATTTTCAGAAAGAAAAAAAAACAACAACAAAATAATCAGATTGAATGAAGGCTCAAAGTCTACTACAGCTGTATCAGTCACCTGGGCTTTTGTCATGTTTCCCGTTTCCCGTTTCCAAAGTTTTCGATAATATAGCACGAGAAAATGTCATGCAATATTCTAGTTTTCAACCAATGAGATATTACTAATTGAAGGCTATTTTATGATTAATGCTTTTAATGCTTGCATGTGTAACATAACCTTGTAGCCCAATTATTTTTTTTGTAATTCTGTTTAACTCAAAAGAATAACACGAGATAGTATCATGCAAGACTTGGATAAATGTATTTATAGAAATTTCTTAATATAGCAATTTCTTACCCGCCTTTTTGTCAGTATTTTAAAACTTTGAAGCACAAGTCCTTAACATTCTAAGAAGTACAACAGTTTTTAATTTGTTGCTTTCCTGTGGTGTTCGGCTTTCAGTTTTATTTGAAGATGATATAATAGTTTTATAAATTATAATATAAGGTGTCATACATGTATAAGATCCTGTTTTTTGTGGATTTTTTTTTTTTTTTTTTTTTTTTTATGATATTATTATAGTATAATATTGTCATACAAGAATTCTCCAGCAGTTTAAGTCATGGATGGAAACTATTTGTGCCCCACAATCACTTAGAACATTGTGTCATTAACTCAGGTACCTTAATTATACCCCCAAAAATGAAGTTTGGGGGGGTATATTGGAGTCACCCGGTGGTCGGTCGGTCGGTCTAGACGTCCGTTGCATTTTCCTTGTCCAGAGCATTACTTGAAGACTAATGGTTGGAATTCAGTATAACGACATACAATGGTCAAGCACATTGAGAGGTAGTGCAGTGCACAAGAACCATAACTCTATCTTGACTAATTACAGAGTTATTGCCCTTTGTTACTTTTCCTTGTCAGGGGCATAACTTGAAAACTGCTGGTTGGAATTCAAAACAACTTCATACAATTGTCAAACACAATAAGGGAAAGTGCAGTGCACAAGAACCATAACTCTATCTAAAGTAATTACAGAGTTATTGCCCTTTGTTACTTTTCCATTGATTTTTATACCCCCAAAAACGAAGTTTGGGGGGGTATATAGGAGTCACCCGGTGGTCGGTCGGTCGTTTGGTCGGGCGGTCGGTCGGTCGTTCGGTCCAGACGTCCGTTGCATTTTCCTTGTCCGGAGCATAACTTGAAGACTAATGGTTGGAATTCAATATAACTACACACAATGGTCAAGCACATTGAGAGGAAGTGCAGTGCACAAGAACCATAACTCTATCTTGACTAATTACAGACTTATTGCCCTTTGTTACTTTTCCTTGTCTGGGGCATAACTTGAAAACTACTGGTTGAAATTCAAAACAACTTCATACAATTGTCAAACACAATAAGGGGAAGTGCAGTGCACAAGAACCATAACTCTATCTAAAGTAATTACAGAGTTATTGCCCTTTGTTACTTTACCATTCCTTTCTTTTGTCCGGACCATAACTTGAAGACTAATGGTTGGAATTCAATATAACTACACACAATGGTCAAGCACATTGAGAGGAAGTGCAGTGCACAAGAACCATAACTCTAGCTTGACTAATTACAGAGTTATTGCCCTTTGTTACTTTTCCTTGTCCGGGGCATAACTTGAAAACTGCTGGTTGGAATTCAAAACAACTTCATACAATTGTCAAACACAATAAGGGGAAGTGCAGTGCACAAGAACCATAACTCTATCTAAAGTAATTACAGAGTTATTGCCCTTTGTTACTTTTCCATTCCTTTCTTTTGTCCGGACCATAACTTGAAGACTAATGGTTGGAATTCAATATAACTACACACAATGGTCAAGCACATTGAGAGGAAGTGCAATGCACAAGAACCATAACTCTAGCTTGATTAATTACAGAGTAATTGCCCTTTGTTACTTTTCCTTGTCAAGGGAATAACTTTAAAACAACTGGTTGGAATTCAAAACAACTTCACACAATTGTCAAACACAATAAGGGGAAGTGCAGTGCACAAGAACTA